TGTCGGATGCGACTCAGATTTTACCGTTAGACACATCTTAACCGAATGTCTAGACTTTGGAAAGATCCGAAGGAAATATTATAAATGCAAGAAATTGCAAGACATTTTTTCTGTCGTTGGTCCCAGCAGAATTTTGAATTTTATGAAGGCCATTGGCCTTTGTGGCAAATTGTAAAGTGAAACGATATTGTTAAAAAATTTGTATTGTTATTTATAAGAGTTGTTTTAAATGGCAAATATATTTACACTGAATTTTAGTATTTTAGCATTTTAAAGTCTAATTGTCGACCAACCGTGCAGTGAACTTTACTGTTGCGAATGCTACCAACTTTGTGTTTCACGCGCTCATATGACCTTATGCAGTTGCGAGCGCCGTAAAACCCTGTACTACTAAACTAAACTCTAATCTTCTGGCGTTCATATGACCTTATGCAGTTGCGAGCGCCGTAAAACCTCTACTAAAACTAAAAACTAATTTTTTGCTCAAAAAATTTCTTCTTAGACCTCCTTTTCCTGCTCCCTAACCATGTTCTGTCGTCTGCTTTCGTCTCCCCATTCTGCCCCCTCTTCTGGGCTCCTGGCTCTTTCTACTGCTACTGCTACTCCTTGGCTACTTTTCACACTTGTTTTTCATCCGCACCTCTGATCTTATTGTAGGTAAGATCAAATACCTAGCCTTCTCGGATAATAGCGAAAAATCTTTGAGATCCCGTGTGCAAGTTGCGCACGTTAAAGATCCCTTGGTGGTCCTAAAACTGATGAAAATAGGCTTCACCCACCACCCAGACAAAATTCCAAATTTCCTACCAACTGAAAAATGTTTAATGTGTTGTGTGTGCTCATGACTTTATGCAGTTGTGAGCACCGTAAAACACTTCCAAAAAAAGAAGAAGATGTGTCTTGGACAATGGCTGTGGCTTCTGGTGCCCAATCCCGTCTGTGGCTGTTCGTTTGAAAGAGGTGCCAACCAAAATATACCAATGTAACCCCCTCTCCATACAAATCATCATTTCAGAAGTTTTAGTTTTAATCAAACATCATCATAGCTGAGTAAGGCTGCTTGCTGAAAAGCATGACGCCCACATCAAATAAACAACACATATATTGTGCAAGATTGCTATATATAAAACTGAGGAGGGGAACTGTAATAAAAAAGAATCCAGAACAAGCATTGTGATATATGGTAGTGTTTTATTGTTTTTCATAAAGATCAAATTTCAAGAATGTAATTTTTTAAAACTGCACACATGATTTTCTTTCCCGTTTTAGATACAATGAAACCAGCTGGGTGGCCAAAATGTGTCTTTCTAGATCCCTTACTGTATACGACAAGCAACTAGTTAACCCTTACTGTATACGACAAGCAACTAGTAAACTCTTACTGTATACGACAAGCAACTAGTTAACTCTTACTGTATACGACAAGCAACTAGTTAACTCTTACTGTATACGACAAGCAACTAGTTAACTCTTACTGTATACGACAAGCAACTAGTTAACTCTTGGAGGCTAATTTTACTTTCAGTTTCAGCAAAGAGAAAATTAAAGACTCAATAACTTGAACAAACAGTCATGAGGAGATAGTCGGAGACAGATAAAAGAGACAAAAGGAAAGTATAGATAAAGAAATAAGACCTACAAATGAATACAAATAGCACCCTCCAAAATCAACTGATATTTTTAGATGGAACATAAAGCAAATAATAATAGACAGCATCTTAATGCTAGAGAAGAAAAACGAGAGAAGCAATAACCAACAGGGCGATTGTACCACACAGTATCTCTCTTATGTTGATGTTAATCATTGCAAACTCTAAAGTACATACGGTGACAAGAATTGAGGAAATCGTATACATAAAGTCATAAAGAAGACTGGAAATATTTTGCGCCCCAATCAATACAATTGGGAAATGGTACAACAAACCTGGAGCAAATCAAGAACACAATACACAAATATAAATTAAATCAATAAAATAATGTTATTTGGCCTGGCCCTTTTTGTCAGATTACAGTAATCATGTATTATTTTGAAAAGTCTTTCAAGTCATGTTTACACCAACAGGTCAGATCTTTCTACAAATTCACTTCAATGACGTCAATGCAGTTTGAGTTTGAGTTTGAAATAATGGACGGCACCTCACACTCTTAGTCTTACACATTGTCATGGGGGTTGATTTTACCACCATCCCCTTACTAATGACAGAATATTTTGCAGAATAGCAACAATACCTGTCACCACAAATTCAAAATTACAGGGGTCACCTAGTCAGCAATAAATAAAAACAAATACAATGTGAAAGACAAATAGGCAAAATTATCATTCGGTGGGAAATCCCTGAGGAGCACAAAAAAAAAGATTCCAAAATATTTTCTGTAAAAACATCTCATCAGCTGCTTGTAGAAGAAAACACTGTCCTGTTGGCAATAAATAAATGAGATAATTGAGAATTTACAGGTGCAATATAATTGAAAGCTTATCATAAGCACTGCTTGCAAAGATAGGCCTACCATAATACATGTTATTATCAAAGGTAACCATACATGTGAACACTTTACACAGTATCTTTAGTCTTGGCACTCAAGGTTCACAACAGAGATGAAAAAACCTGAATGGCTTTTATTCTTTTACCATAATTTGTAATTATATCATGTCTGAATAAAAAGTATTCTAGTTTTAGTACGGTATTCTCATTTTTCGTTCAAGAACTTTTTTTTAACAAAACATAAAAGAATATATAATAGAAACATGATGACCTGATCAGATGCAATTGATTGTCTGAGTGGCTGGGTGAATATGAGGCAACACTTGGAACAGCTTGTCTCTAGTCTCTTGCCTTTACCAGTCTACCACTACTTAAGTGGCAATTGTTATATCCCGTTATAGCGCCAACTTTATGCCCGTCCCAGGGTTGGCGGTATAATGAGGTTTGACTGTATTTATAATAATAGTCTTGTCTCTATACAAATAGTACATTGACAGATTCAGTGTGGAATAGCAACATGTGCACTATACATGATACAAACAGGATATAACCAGGCTATATCACTAATAAATAATAAAAAGTAGAAAATTACAAAATTACTGTACATGATGATGAATAAGTTAAATTATAGCATAAAGTCGTTTTTAAAAAGGATACCTTTAAAAACTTGTGTGGCATCATGGTGAAATCAGGTGCTCATCAAAATAATGATCCCGAAGAAACCAGCATTTTTCTGATGAAACCAGAAATGTTTTGCCGGTTGGGCAGTTTTTACCATTGGGGGTGGGGGGGCTCAGCAGTTTTTATGTCTACTTACACAATTTCGTATGGATTTTACGGGAAAAGGTTGATCACAGGCACAATTTAAAAAAAGTAAATTTGCAGTTTCCAAGGATAAGCAAGCTTTGTTAGTCACCAAACTTGGGCAGCCATTTTCTCTCTAATTTTACCTGTCACCAAGCAACCCCTACCTCAAGATCTACACCTAGCCTTCCCCAACAAGGGCGAAAAATCTCGGAGGTCCCATGAGCAAGTTGCGCATGTCAAAGATCCCTACGTGATTTTAAAAAATTGATAAGAGTAGGTTTCGGACGCCACCAGGGCACAATTTAAAATTTCCTACCTACTGAAAATGTTTGGTGTGGCCTGCGAGCTCATTTGACCTTATGCAGTTGCGAGCACCGTAAAACATTTACCAAATAAAAAAGAATTTAAAAACCCTACCTCCTTCACTGCAAAATATCTTGACTACTACTACCTGTATTATTCAAGATTAATGGGTTTTGTTTTAATCAAAAGCTAAGCAGGCTTTAAGGTTATCCATAACTCCACCCAAAAATTGACGAGCTCCTGATTCCATTATGTCCTGAGTGATACATTTAAAACTGAAATAAAAATCAACAATTCTTCATTTTACAAAAATGAAGACAATTACTACACTCCTAGAATACTGACAGTCACAGCAGACCAAGTGAGGCATGGTTAAGCTTAAAGTTAAAGAGCAAATCCAAGTAAAACTTTGGCTTTTGATCTTGAAGTCAAGAGCTTCAGTCTAAAAAATCATTACTGTAGACCAATAATTTAAAAAGGCATAAAAAAAGCAAATCAGTGAGATTCACTTTTTAATAAAGCTAAGCCCGGATATAGAAAGATCAAAAGTGCTTGTCCATAGCCTGTAGCCTGACCCAGGATGAGAATAGCAATGGTGATGATCATGACTTTTCAATAAAGCGAGCAAACCAGAGTCTGATGACCGGCACCTGTGGTGTATTGGTTAGACACTTCAATGTCGCAAGCAAGAAGCCCAAATTTGATTCCTGAGTGGGGAGAATATATTTGTCAAGTATCTCTATCTTTCTGCTGAAATGCTGTATCCCTCTCAGCCCAAGTAAGCCCTGACAAAAGGATGGAAGCCTGCCTCCTAAATTATCTAATAGTGTTGATAGTGGTATAGTATAACAAGCACCTACATTTTCTTTTTTAAGAAAAGAGTCTGATGACCTACACAAGATGGTTGGCAATGTGATCACAGTCACAGTGCACGTTGTCAGTGTGTCTACACTATATGTGTATTACATCAGGTCTAGTCCGTCTTAGTCCAAAAGAAAAAAAATAAAATTGAACTATATTTAATTTCCTCTCTCTCTCATTCACTAATTGTTATTGAGCACAGACAATGACAAAAAACATTTCTCAACCTTCTAAGAGTGAGAAAAGCATCAAAATCTGGTTCACTACCTACCAAGAATAAATTACTAGATATCAACTCATGCACTAGGTTTGATCTGCATCCACAGGCTGCTTTAACCCCAGGTGGGAGGAATACATTCTAGCAGCAGAAAGAGACAGAATCTTCCCCAAATAGGAATTGAACTCGCATCCTTCATGTGTAATGCAAAGAGCCAACCCATTACTCAACAGATGTAAAAAGAGTCCGCAAAAATAAGTGTCACAGCAAAATAAATTACGAAACAGTACATCTTTTTACATTATAAGGAACCCGTGCACACGCCTTTGTAAAAGTTTTATAAGACTGACTTAATGCTCAATGTTTAATGAATATATTCCTTGTGGAGAAAACTTGAGAGTAGTGAACAAGAAAATCCAACACAATATCAAAATCAAATGAAAGGCATTACATATTATAACTGAGATCATGAAAACAGATAAAAGCAAGCAGACATTTGTAAAAATGTACATAAAGTTATAACCAGACTTGTAAAATCATATCAAAGTTCCATTCTTGAAAGCAACATCTGTAAATTACTGAGTATTCATGTACTGTGCACTACAGCACTAAACTGTAAAAATCTGAAAAATAAAAATTTATGACTTTACAGACAATTTCAAATACCATCAAGAAAAATATTCTCATTCTACAAAATTGTTACAAAACATTGCACACTATACAGGTCAGATTTTTAAAAACTCTTACTTAAAGGCCAGAACGACACGCTCTGTGTTGTTCCCACCTCCCCTATTTAAATACACTTTTCTGTCCAGTCCTCCAAATCCACGCTTACTGACCAAGTTAAAAATAGACATGATGATACTTCCTTTTTTTAAAATGGGAATTAGACACTTGAAGGGGTATTACTTTAAAGGGAGCAATTAGGAATCACAATCCGAATAAATTTCCAAATCTAGATTGTAAATCAAATTACTCTACAACAAACCTGCTTTTTCTGCACTCAATCTCACAATCCACTTCCCCATTGTTGCCGATGGTTAATTTTTTCACATAGTGAACAAGGTAGATCTAGATCCCAAATTGTCAGTTATACAAAATTGATTCTGACTGCTCAGGAAAATCTATGAACTTAATTCTGGCCGATAGTAATTTAGAAGTTAAGATACAGTCATTTTATATGGATCTGGCATGTTGGTAGCTAACAAATGTGTGGCATCTTGTTGAAATCAAGTGCTCATCAAAATAAAGAAACAGACTTTTTTTCTGCCCATAGGGCAATTTGTATCTAGTAGCTAATTTGACACTTTATTCCCTTTTTTTTTTTACTTCATATCTTTAATGTACATTTAAAAACACATTTTTATATTACTTTCACCGAATAACGTTACTCAAACGCACAAAAAAATAAAAATTTGAAATTTCTACGGGGCACTCAAGCTATGGCAGTCACCAAGCTTTGTTGGCCATTTTCTCTTTATTTTTACCTCTGAATTACGCAACCACTACCTCCTTCAAATGCTAAATCTTGACTTCTATTCAGGGTTGCTGGGTTTTTTTTTACATCAAAAGCAATGCAAATGAACAAGCTTTAATATTACATTTATAACTGTAACTCCATAAACTTGAAAAATTTACGAGCCGCTGATTCGACCGTACCATGCCACAAATGTCTAAAATAGGAATTTGTATCGCTGTCTCCACCAAAAGAGATCAAAATGCAATGTAAAGAATAGAAACTATAATAATATATATTCTGCTTTAGTACAAAATATAACTAAAGGTTTAGGCTAAAATCAATTCATAAAAAAGGGGCAAAATTTAATTTGTTTCCAGTTTCTTCTTTCTCGGGTTTCCGAGTAAAAAATTTCCAACTTGACAGCCAAAAATACTTTCACTATTTATAAATATATTTTTTTAAAAACACTTTTCAACTTCAACAAACAACGAACCCATTCCTTTGTAAAATTCCAACATATTTCTCAGATTATTCAACAGAGCAATTATGATTATATTTTATTCACACTGTTAACGACCAAGACAAATTTCTTCCTGCAAGATATAAATCAAACAAAGACGGTCATTACCAGTTGACTGCCTTCCTACTTTAAGTCCCACTAAAGACAGGTAACGCTCCATTATATTCTTAATCATACAACAAACAACCTCAGATGCTACTTCACTATGAAATAAAGAAGGCATGTTTGATGGGCCGTCTAGTTTTCAAGAAAAATAAAGTTCTACCAAGGGCAAAAATACAAAAATATACTCAAAGTCACGTGAACTTCCATAAATAAAACTGCGGCCTCTGTCCACTGACCATGTAGTATAGGTGAAAAACACTAAAAAAATCAGTCATGCCAGGCAGAGTTCATCCAAAAATAGATTGAATCAGTACAGATATGGGTTTGTAACATTTTTCTTTCCTGTAAATTACAATGGTATAATAAAAAGAAACCGAAAACAGAACCTTAACAACAAGGTTTACAATTGAAAACACATGACAGTCTTGTTCAACGCAGAGTAAATACTGCAAAGACATCAGCAACATTTAAAGGAAAACCCTTTCTTCTTGCGCCTTTCAGGGTAGAGAACGCCATCCTCTTCTAACTCAAAGGAGCTTTCGGTGAGTCTGATTGAGCGCATGAACAGGTCCTCATCCTTCGGGTCGTGCCGGTAATTCCCCAGCACATTGGCTGCCAACGAGAAAGTAAACATATTGTTATCGACACAACATCTCAAGTTATCAAGTATGCTAACAAGTTATGAACAACACATTACTCACAAAAATGAATTCATTTATTCAACAATTGAAAGTAACTAAAAAAAAAACAACCCACTCTACAACAACACATTAGCCCTAATGGTGTGAGTGAGCATGAAGCCTTATGGACTCCTGATGACAACAACACAACATTTATCTACAAGATTATGAAATGATGTGAATTGAGTCAGAAATCCCAAAATGGGGCAAAACCTGTGAAAAGAAATGAAAAAGAGCAGACAAATCCTAATTAATTTACTGTAAGCCTATATCGTGATTTTTTTTACGAGTGCTACTTGAAATTCGTGATTTTCATAATTTTTTAGAGAAGTTTGTGAAATCAAATTGTTTACAAAATGTTACAAGGAGCGCTATTGTACCGGACCACATGACACTGGGTGACTCAAAAGATGAATTCAAAACCTTTGTAAAAAACGAAATTGGCAAAACGCTCCAAAAAAAAAAAAGTGCAGGGGACAAAACCTGGTGTAGTATCCAATTTAACTTAAATTATTTCCCAACTGACTGAATTTGTAAAGCAAAAGGTAACTTGTATGTTTCTTTTTTTCTTTTTTTTTTGGTAAGTGTTTTTCTTATCGATTTCGGACCACCAAGGGATCTTTAAACGTGCGCAACTTGCACATGGGACCTCCGAGATTTTTCGCCCTTGTCCGAGAAGGCTAAGTGTAGATCTTTACTATTAGAACATCAGGGGTGTGGCTGAAAGACAGCAGTAAGAGGGAGCCAAAGAGTAGCAGTAGAAAGGACTGAAGAAAGAGTCAGGAGCCCAGAAAAGGGGGCAAAAGGGTGAGGGCAGAAAGTGGAGACAAAAGCAGATGACAGAACATTGCTAGAGAGCAGGAAAGGAGGTGAAAGTAAACAATTTTAGAGAAGAAAATTTTTCGATCACTACCTGGATCCAAACCCGGGACCTTTGAATGAGAGATGAACACCTTAACCTCTAGGCTACAAGAGCCCCCACGGAATCATTAAGGGCAAGAATCCACAGTGACGCGTGATCAGGCCAACAATTGATTAAATGATCTTCCCATGCTTTGAAATGACCCAACATGACCACTGAGTGGGTATATAACATATGCAGGGTCCCCACCAAACCCTGGAAAATTTTTTCAAGACCCCATTTCGAGTATTTCGAGGGAAAAATCAGGCCGCTGCGCGTCAAGAATGATCCCCAAAAAAGCCCATATATCAATGATAAAAAGTCAAAATGTCTCTAAATGAATGCAAATGTACATTTTGTAGTATAGTCTTCAAACAATAGATGACTATAATACTGGGTGACTGCCAACCCAGCTTCTCAATTTTCCAAGGGAGGGGCCTCATCCATTTTCCAGGAACACGTTACATAACAATGAAAGCGTGTGCTCCATTTATATCTAATATAATACATGTACAATGTATATGTTTGTGAATGCACATACACACACATGTAGGTACATTATATCCAGTCAACAACATGTCAGTGTGGCACTGGGGTCTTGAGAGACTGGTATTTCAGTCTGTTCTTACTTATTTATATTTTCCCCTCATCATATTAGCCAACATAACAAACTATAGACCCTATATAAAAAAATGAATCCTGTTTTGAGTCTGAGAAAAGACCTAGAACTAGAATATCGACTGTCAATAACCATTCTGGGTGTCATGATTCATATAATAATAAACGTGAAGACGAAAACCATTGCTGCAACTCAAAGAAGAGTAATATTAGTAATAACTAGAATGGCTCAAGTACACCTATTCAGTGTGAGAAGTGCAAGAACTGGGGGGGGGGGGGGGCGCAAGATGCAGTGACACTGAAAATCTGCCAATCTTGAACAGAAAGCTATATAAATTACAATCACCCCATCCAATGATATGAAACGCGAACACTTTAGTTCAATAACAAGGCATGACGGATCCCGATTCCACACAAGGCCTGCACCAACGCGCGCTTTGCAGAGAGATCTAAAGTAGTTATCAAAATGCTAAAAAATTGCTTCCAAGTTCAGTTTTTGTCCTCTAGCGTTGCCTTCAGCCCCCCCATCCCCTTCCACGAGTGTATCTTATAAAGGAGTCCTATACTTCACAGCGCTCAGACCGCCGGTACTCACAGGTTCATTGACCGGTCACGAGGGCGAACCTGTCAAGACGCTTGTATAAGTTCTTTTTCTTTTTTTTCTACAAGCGACAGCAGAGGGCAATTTTTAATATTGATTTATTTTCAAGGCAAAACAGCGTTCATAATTCATAACCTGCATGTTACAAATGTTGCGTTATCTATCAGACTATTACCGGAAAATTTCTGGGCAGTAACGAAAGCGAAAGTAGATCTTGATTCTTCCCGATCGAGCCTCGGTGTCACACATACACTTCCGCCACAGCGGTTCAATTACGTTTCCTCTTCAGGATTCATCAACCATACAGTCTAGATAGATACACATTACACAGGCCCTATCCTTTCCCGACTTACCGACCCATCACAAAATTCCCGACCTCCCGACCCATCTCAAAGTGCCCGACTTTTTCCCGATTTCCCGACCTGGTGGGGACCCTGCATATGGTGAGCAAAGAGCAGTCAGCCTGGGTGACTAACCACAAAGACTTTTTTTTGTTTAATTTAAAGAGGCAAGCCATTTTCAAGTATCCAATCATGAGTATCAAGATCCAGGTTGATCCAAATGCTCATCCCCTTCACCTGTCCAAAATGTAGAGGTTTCCGTCTCTGACCAAGTTCCCCACTCACGTCATAAGGCACCATTGTGTTGTGACAGCTTCATTCAAAATTCAAATAATGAAAAGCAGGCTCACTGCCCAAAGATAACCACATTATACAAAGGTCATCAGACAGTCCCCGAGTATAGGCGCAAGTCAGTTTTGAAAATTCAGGCAGAGTTGAAAGACTAGTGCGATGGTCAGGAAAACAAAAGCACCAACGAATTCACAGTTCGAAGAAATGCCATTTGTTCCATTCTTGTGAGCCTGTGTGTTCAGGTGCTTTGAGCGTGTGTGTGCGTCCTATCCACCGAGCGTCCAATGCAAGGTTAGACAGGATGCTCAAAAGTGAGAGCGATGTGTGATAAATGTGCAATACTGTATGTGTATAACACCCTTTGTGACGATGGAGTGCAATGTTTGGGGAAATAAAACACATCAGTGATTTCATACCTCAGCACAATCCTGACTGGAGCACACATTGTACTCAATCATCAAGACTTACTACATACAGATGTTATCGCATTTATGAGAGTGGATGATTTGTGACACAACAGGCAGTGTGTGTAATTATCGCAAATGTTTGCTGCTAAGATCAGTTGCACACGCCTGTGTTCTTTTTTTTTCTTCCATAAATTATGATCTGAAATGCAGAATCTTAGCAGTATTTAGATCCTCCAGAGCATGATCTTAGAGATGACTTTTGGCAATAAAAATTCTCTTAAAACTGCAGGATCTAAAGCAAATTTGGATCATCTGATCATAAGTGATTGGATTTTAGTTGGAGACTACTATATGTTATTGTAACTGCTTGCTCAATGCTAATGCTAGAAAAAACAACTCATCATCAACAGCCCTGGCAAAAATGAGTTCATAGCAGTGATCAGAAGCAGGAGCTTGTTTGTCTAAAAACAATTACAAAAATTAATTGCTGATTATTTCAACCTTTCGTCCTAGTAAGGGTAAAAGTTATCCACCATGGACACCTCATTTCCATATAACTAGACAGTTCAAATTCAATGTTTCTCAATTTGGGGTCCAATTTTTAATGAACCATATTTCTTATACCGTAAGCTGTATCATTTTCTTATTCATACATTTTGTTTCCATTTGGCTGATTTTAAAGAGTAAAAAAAAAAGTTGTATATTTGTTGTGATCCCACGGAAGAATGTATCTAAATTTTATCACATCCTGTTGTTTGTTTTGTACACTTTATAAAAACATGCAAACAGAACTCACCAGCATCCAAGAATGCATTTACCACACCATCTCCTGTGCGAGCCGAGGTCTCGTACATATGTATGTTGTTCTCCTTGCAGAACGTAAGGGCCCTCTGGAAAGAGAAATATATATAACATAGCTGTAAATATGCACATATATTATAATTTTAAATAAATAGAAATACTACTCTACTTCTTACATTTTCTGTACTCTTACACCACCAGGTGTTTAGGGGAGATGCAGTTGGTAGATGTAGGCCATGTGCCTTGCTGTTTAGATCATCATGTTGTTCTTTTGGAGTCTCCTCTACTCCTCCATCCATCTTTTTCTTGGCTTTCCTTTTGTCTTGAAGCAATCAAATTGTATGTTGTAAACCTTAGAGACTGGAGGCTGTGACCCCATCCTCATTACATGTCGTAACTATCTTATTATTGTTGTCTCTTGATGTATTCTTTGCTCGACTTGATGCCTATTTAATGCCTCATGTCTTCATTTCTTTGTCCGTCTCTTGTGATGTTTTATGATTTTCTTAAACATTTTGTTCCGCAGGTAGTTATTCTTTTTTCTGCACTTTATTGAGGGTCCCCCCAAAAAAAGGAGTAAGTTCACTTTAGTCAAATTACAGAATGAGGAAAAGAGAAAGTTGAAAGTTGATTGCAGTACATTTGTACTTAAAATAATCAAAATTTTACAGAAACAAAAAGGACTTTTTCACAAAAATAGATATCAATATACTCATGTAAAGATCATTTAATTTTTAAAAAATCTGGTTGGATATTATCCCAGACACAAACACTGGAATTCTGAACTAAGGAATTCCCACCCTCCGAAAAAAAAAGTTTTCCAGGAAGGAACAGAAAAATACAGACCACAGTCAATGTAAAACCTAAGGCCTTTTCAAGAAAAAATAAATTTAGCTGCGTAAGAAAAGCGGAGTCTAATGAGAACTAAGACTGTACTACAATGTGGCATGTTGCATGCTATATGTAGAACACAGTACAGTAGTCTCCGCCTAAGATCCCGCTGTTTTAAGAAAAAATAATTTTTACAATACAAAAGTCACCCCTAAGATCCCGCTCTGATTCACTCTGAAGGTCTACATTCGGCTAAGATCTCGCATTTCAGATCATAATTTGCGGGAACAAAAACCCGGGCGGGACAGCCGATCAACCAAGAGTGAAAAGTAGAGATCAATAAACTGTCCGTCGCGTCAAAGATCAGCAACTATCGTGAATGTGATCACATACGCGTTGTAAAACTCGATGAAGCGATACAATGTTTGCCCCCCGCGGGATCACACCGGGGTATGAACTGACCGACAAGTTTGTTTTCCTCACACATGAGCTCTCCCCCTAAACTTACATCACTCGCTGGGTGGTAGGGCCTACACGTTCCCTCCAGGCGGGATCACATCGAACTGTGAACACTTCCTAGACCATTGCAGAAGTTGTCTCTGCTCCCGAATTTGCGAGACAGACTGAATTTTAATTGGTGTGTTCACAACGCAATGGGGGGTAACGACAAAGGCGGTGGGGGGGGGGACATGGTCAGAGATGGATAATAAGTGAAAATGGCACCCCTCATCCCACTATGCACTGTGATAGGTCATCAAGGTTAACCACTCTTTGCTCGCCATATGTCATTAACCCACCAACGGGTCACGTCAGTACATTTTAGAGTGGAGGGAGACCATTTTACCGATTGCGAGCCTTAACATGGATCACCATAGATTCTTCCCTGGGTTCGTCGGTTAAGGCGGAGACTACTGTATTAAGATTCCTACTCTTATTAAAGAAAAAATTATTTTCACTTAACGGGAGGAGCTACCCTTGAGGACCATTTTCTATGTTTGTTGCCCGAGATCAAATCTATATATATATATATAAGTTAGGCATAGTAAAACCTCTTTATACGCAATTTTATTTTGGCATAGCTACAGAGGTTGCTATGGAAACGGCCGCCATCTTGAAAATAAACAATGAATTTCAAATCCCAAGGCTTTCTTATTTACAGACCAAATTAGACCCAACTTAGTGAGAGTACACCTGAACCAGACCCTATCTGAGTAACAGCTAGTTTTTTTCAATAAGTGCAAAAGAGAAAAAAATATGAGAAATTTCCCAAAGTATTAAAAAAACTTTTTCTAAATGTAGGTTACGTAATCGCTTGCCATTGGAAAAGTGCTGGTTTTTTTCACAAATATCTCTTTGTCCCATTGACGGCAGCCTTGCCATCTATATTTCCTGAAAGTTTCATGTCAAAAGGACAAAAACTAAGGACGAAGTAGTAGGGAAAAAACTGAAAAAAAATTAAATTTTGCGAAAAACGACAATGATTGTGAAAATTCACTATACTAATCCACCCTCATGTTTTCAAAGGCAATTTACGAGGAGAATAAAGACTTTCTCAATTGTATCCATGCTATTTTTAAACAAAAAAACTGGTTGATCTTCAAAAAACAGCCAACATAAAATTTGCATAGCCTGACCCAAAATCTGCAATATCAAGGGTCGCTCCGACCCATAAAACCTAAGACACATGGAAGACACCATTAGAAGTTTTTTACTTGAGCTCTGCTGCTCCTTAAACTATGTATCTGTCTTGCATTTTTCCCTCCACTAGAAAACCATTACTTTGCTGGCATGTCTCTCTATTTCAACTTAAAGAAATAAGCCATATATATAAGAGGTATAACTTACTCTCTTTGTGGAAAAAAAACTGTTGTCATTGACACGATCCACCTTGTTCGCCACTAGGACTATGGGCAGATCCGGATCCCATTCTTTGACTTTGACATACCAGTAATTCAAAGCATTATTTAGGCTCTCCTGAAAAGAGACAAGACAAAACAGAACAATTACTATAAAAATAAAAGATTTGCCACTATATTGAAACTTTCTTCAGTGTCTCATTAGACACCAGGCTTAGAATACTCATCAACCATATGAAGCAGGTCTATATGATGCCATGTCACACCCTCAAAACCAAGGATCAATGAATACATGGTCTAACAGAACAATTACTATAAAAATAAAAGATTTGCCACTATATTGAAACTTTCTTCAGTGTCTCATTAGACACCAGGCTTAGAATACTCATCAACCATATGAAGCAGGTCTATATGATGCCATGTCACACCCTCAAAACCAAGGATCAATGAATACATGGTCTAACAGAACAATTACTATAAAAATAAAAGATTTGCCACTATATTGAAACTTTCTTCAGTGTCTCATTAGACACCAGGCTTAGAATACTCATCAACCATATGAAGCAGGTCTATATGATGCCATGTCACACCCTCAAAACCAAGGATCAATGAATACATGGTCTAACAAACAAAATTTAAATAAGAATAACTTCTCACATGCCATCAATCTTCTTCCTATACATTCTCACACCACAGATCAGGGGGACAAGCAACTGTGTGAGTACAACAACCCACGGTAGTAAATCAACAAACAAACACATTGAGAACTTTTTCATAGCAAAAAAGCAAAAGGCCAGTTCAAAACAAACACTATTTTCGTCTTCTTCTTTCTTTGCATTCTCCAACTACATCTCAGAGGTAATCGACTGCTGGTTCATCAATCTGCAGAGCAACCAATTTTTACAAGTGACCATTTTTCCTACTTCATAGGGCCCCTTGCCTTCACATGCAGCTACATTCCAATTTTGAAGGTACTCTCGCTATTATGTTTATATATTGACTAGAGTATTTTCAGTTTTCGTAAGAATTAGTTAAAAAAAAAATTTTCCGGATGGCACCCGAGGCCTACTCTTATCGATTTTGAGACCAGTAGGATCCTGTGTAACTTGCATACAGGACAGCCAAGATTTGTCCCTCTTATGCGAGAAGACTACAGATTCGATCTTACCTACCCAAAGGTCAGGGCTGTGGCCTAAAGACAGCAGTAAGGAGCCAGGAATAACAGTAAAAAGAGTCAGTAATAAAGGAGAAAGGAAGGCAGTAGAAAGTGGAAACAAATGCAGATGACAGCACATGAATAGGGAAAGTAGTAAGAAAGGAGGCGCAGAGAGAAAATTTTTTCACCCCTGTCAGGTTTCAAACCCGCCGTCTTTTGAAAGAGCCTCGAACACTATATCTCTAGACCATGGGAGCTTCCTAAACACTACCGAGGGCACTCACAGGGTCCATAACATCAAAGACAAGGAGACAGCCCATTGCCCGCACAACGAAATGTGAAGTGACGCTGCGGTATCTCTCTTGACCTGCCGTGTCCCATATGTAGACTTTGTACTCCATGTCAGGAGCGTGAATTACCTTTTCATAGGGCTTCACTGGAGAAAAGACCGCATTGAGAAATGTGTAAGACAAGAAACTGGTAAGTTCTCTTTTTCTTTATAATTTTAACACCCTAGAAGTCCAAGACAAGAATTAGGTTATTAAAATGTAGTGGGTTTTTTTTTAGCTCAAACATTATAATGGAGAACCTCTGATAGGCAGGTCGCAAGAAAAGATCAGTTTGGAAGGCAAAGAGAAAGTACAAAGAAAAGCACTTCTCTCCCCACCCATCCTGTTCATTACCGTAAACTGTACGTAACAAAACTGGTTAGCTCCTGCCTTTAAAAAAATAATTTAAGATTCATTAATTAAGACACCAAGCAAATTGTATTTCTCTCTCAACCAATGTTTTAAGGCATGTTTGTTACTGTAGAACAGATCCTAAGACAGAAATATAACAAAACTTCTGTCACATAGTGAAAGAAGTCTCTTTGATAAACTAGTTTCTTACGTCAAGATGGCCCATTCATAAGCAGAGACCACTGCATATCACTTTATACAGTAAAACAAGACATATGAACAAGCTTTTTAAGATGATACACCAAAAAAGTAGCCAAAAGAAGGCCCGTATAAATGAAAAATTAAGCAACACAACAAGTAGAAATAAAAACACTCACTTCCAATTGTTGAATTATAAGAATCTCTAAATCTGTCAAGACAAAACCGTTCAACCAGTGACGTTTTGCCAACTCCCATGTCACCGAGCACAACAACTTTCACATCTTGCCACGGCATCTTGTAGGATTCCAGTAAAACCTGAGTGTTGAGATTTATCGAGAATTAATGTGAAAGGAAATCACATTTGAGTCTTTTAAGTGTTCACTAAACTGTTATCTCACAAAAAGTCAGAGAAACAAACCTGTGTAAGATGGCCACCCAATGTCGCAGAGAAAAGTGTAAACACCTCATAAGACAGACAGCCGTCTTAGGCGAGCTTGACCAAAATGGAGAAAACAAACAAAACCTTGTGAGGTCCGACCAAACCAGAGGTGGGTGCAGGCTAATTTATGACTGCTGTGAGGCTAATCAAAATTGGGTTTTGCTATCTTTTGAAGGAAGGGGTTGGTGTGTGTAAGAAGATGGGGGGGGGGGGGGGGGGGGGGGGGTGGTTTCGTTGTTGTTGACTTTTTAAGGGTTTGACTGCTGAACTATTTTATAAAACAAAACAAATAACAAAAAAAAGATATAAAACAAAACCACACAGCACAAACAATAAATTGGTCAGAAGAAATGCATGTTTATTAAGCGTTGATTTAAATAATAATAGGCTACTCAGAGAGTGAAGTCTGGTTTCGAAGCAAGGCTAAAACTCGATTTTGGAGGGGGGGGGGGTGTCCAAGAGGCTTAAATTAATTTTTTTATCATTAAGTCTAACGCCTAATGGGTTGAAACTTTGCAAATAACTAAATTATGACTAGTGCAAAAATCTGTATTCTTTTACTTGCCCTCCCGTTTCACGTTTAGCTACTATGTGTCCATCTTCTACTACATTGTAGTGATATAATGCTGAAAACAAATATATCGACTTCATTTACGTCGCAAGTTGACAGTTTTTGATGGTTTATAATGGGATTTTATCACACTAAGTTTAATTGTGTAGTAATTTTCGCGCTTTGGAACAATCGGGGGGGGGGGGGGGGTTAACGCGGACCCCCCGAAGCAAGAGAAAAATCTGGGGGTTACAGGGGGGCATATTTTAACTTAAAATTGATGTTTTGCAGTTAGGTTTGAAATTTTCTTGAAAATAATCAATTTGCAACAGTTTTAGTGGCTATGTCGTGATCTGCAGCAAATGATACTACAGTTTGATCCCCAGTGCATCTGTGAGCGGGAGTGAAAGTGAAAATTTATTTAAAGCGTGGAAACTGAAAATTTACATTTTTTGTGCCTTTAACTGTCCCCGTAGAATTATGCAAATTTAGAAGGCCAAATTAGGCACACAAAAAAGCAAAATTATGCAAAAATTATGCAAGTTACCGTAACACCATTCACGACATGTTTTGCACTTTTTCAACACGAAGTTTCAGATTTTCATGTTTTATGTACAGAAAAATTGAAAACAGAACGTATCAGTATCAGTAATTTGTTGTGTATTTGGAAAAGAAAACAATACCCATCAGTAACAGAAAAAAAAAACAACCAAAAATAATCATCTCTGTAACGTTCAGCTGCAGATCTAGATCTAGATCTAGATTCTATAGAGGAAACAAAAATGTTTAAAAAAAAAAAAAAAAAAAAAAAAAAGGACATCTGGACCTCTGATGCTGGCACATTACTAAAACCAGGGACACCTGTCAAACATAAAACATCAGCAGACATGAGAAAGAGAACAAAACAAAGATCTTCTAACAAGGGAAATAACCAACTTTTCACTTAAATGAGAGTTAATACGGTGATTACGTCCCTTTAACCACATGGCGAGGCGTAAATTCATTGTTTTGTGGAAAAAAAGAAAAAAAACGTGAAAAGCGCGGATAATCCCAAATTATGCAAATGTGGCAGAATTACGCGAAAAAAAACGCACAATCACATAATCCTACGGGGTCAACACTTTAATCAACATTTTTCAGTAAAATTCAAAGGCAAATATGTTTTTGTATGGACATAAGGGTTTGGGGGAAAAAAAATTTGATAAAAATAGCCAAACTGGTGAAAAAGTGCCTGTTTCTCCGATTTTATTATTTTGACGAGCGCCTAGAGGATTTTAGTTTTTTGCAGGGTGACTAAGTGCAAACTGGACTGCCAAGGTCGAGCAGTCTTGTTTTCTCACAGTACCTTTTGAAGGTATCTTCAAATGAAGTTATAATAAAAGAACATTTGTCCCAACCAAAACCACAACTAAGTATCTGAATATTCAGACATTTAAAAATCTCTAGAAATTGAATTTCGATGCAAAAAATGCTTCCTCCCAGTCCTCGCAGAATGGCAGAACGAAAGGATGACGTCTAAATCTTGCAAATAACCAAAAAATCTCGAGATCAGAAACCGTTTGGAGAAATGGAGTTCAACTTTTATTTTCTCGAGCGTTCAGTAGAGAAATAGTCACTTCGAACTAATTTGCAATGATAAAGTCAAAATTTGTGTAAAGCAGAAGAAAAATGCTTTAGGAGCTGGGTCCATGAGAAAGAAAAGGCCTTAATTTGAGACAGAAATGTAGTAAAATAAAGCTGGGCACTATTTCTCCGAACACTCTGAAATCACATCCTTTCCCGCAAATTTAGGATATTATATAGATCTATAATTATAGTATAGGCCTATCAAAGATTGTTCGTATACAATATGGTTCAATGGGTCCAAAAAATGTCAGCAGTAAATATTTATATAAAGAAATGCTACAGTTCAAAACAGTTTTTCGACAGACATATGACGTGTTGCCTACGAAGGGTGTTGCTCTTAAAGTTAATGTGTTGTGTTCACTCGTGTGCTGTCTAGATAATAACAATAATAATAATAGATAGCATTTGTATAGCGCATATCCCCGCTCAACAGCAGGCTCTATGCACTTTACACTATATTATTACCCCAGCAGACCATAGAACACTCCGAAACATTCTCAGCTTCCCGGGAAGCATACAGTGCAAGCAGCCGATTAAGCGCTCAAACACTAACAAAATGACAAGATCTTTCGCTGTCTATAGCCGGGTACCCATTCCCACCTGGGTGAGGTGAGGAAAATTCGCGTAAAGTGCCTTTCCCAAGGACACAACGTTGGGCCCTTGATGGGATTCGAACCCATGACCTTATGGTTGCGAGTCCGAGAGCCTAACCACTAGGCCACCGACGCCACTGTAAACCGATTACATTGACACTGGCAGGCCCCTTAATGTGTGTGATTCCATAATTTACATGTAATATCATGTACTTTGTTTTAAAATTACGCACATTTAGGGTTAAAACAGCCAATCTTCTTTGGACAGGTGGACTCACGCCCTTATCTGTTAATTTTTGTGGTTGTTTAATGGGCTGTTCTAATTTTCATTTCATTCGGTTGTGAAACCTTACTTTTTCACGTTTTTACACTCATCTAAAAATCTCTAGACTAGCTCTTGAAAATTGAAATAGATATAGACCTAAATATTTGCTCCTGTGTGTGTGTGTGTGTGTGTGTGTATGCATGTGCGTGTGTGAGTGTGTCTGTGTGTGGTAGTAAGTGTGTAAGTGGAGAGTGAGGAGCGTGTGTGTGTTTGTTTTTCGGGCTTTATTTCAGCCTTTATTCAGTAACAGTTCAAAGTATACAAAAATAGAAACACAGGATCCATTCACTCCAGGGCTCATGAGTCGTTCCTCTCAGTTTCACTCATTCATTCAATTCCCGCGTTCTCTTCCGCGGCTCATCCCCGTCCGCATGACTTTCACACCCCACTCCCTCCCTCCAGGCACACACAAAGAAAATCTCTCATTCCCTTGCACCCTGCGAACCATGGACAATAATATTAGCAAAACACTGCCTTAGCCGCATTCTTTTCGTTCGTGAGCTGTGGACCAGGCCAGGGGGGTCGGTGTTGTCGCCTTGTAGTTGCTGTCGCCTGTGGGTATACTTGTACATTCTTCCTTTCACCTGCTCTGTCACTCACACTGTCTCTCCATCCACAGCTCAGCTCGCCATACGTTCAAAAGTTGCCCACTGATCATGTTTAGTTAGTGTGTTATAAGTTTGTGTGTGTACATGTGCATGATGGTGGTGGGTGTGTGGTGGGTGTTACAGAAGGTTGTCCGTAGGCGGGCTTGCCATGCGGTGTTCTTTCCCAGACCAGAGGCAGAATGAAAGTTGGCGCCGAACTCTCGCAATAAATAGGCAAAAAATCACGAGACCGGAAGCCGGAAACCATTCGGAGAAATAAACATCGGCACTATTTTTCCGAACGTTCGGAGAAATAGTCACTTCGTATAATATAGGCCTATTAGATATAGAATCTAGATCTAGATTTAAAAAAATTTTTTTTGTGTGTGTAAAGTGTTTTACGGCGCTCGCAACTGCATAGGTCATATGAGCGAGCGGGACACACCTAATATTTTCAGTAGGTAGGAAATTTTGAATTTTGCCCGGGTGGCGGCCGAAGCCTACTCTTATCGATTTTAGACCACCAAGGGATCTTTAACGTGCGCAACTTGCACACGGGCCCTCCGAGATTTTTCGCCCTTGTCCGAGAAGGCTAGGTGTAGATCTTTCCTACCAGAAGATCAGGGGTGTGGCAGAAAGACAGCAGTAAGGAGTAAATAGATCTAGATAGATCTAGTAACTTCGGAAATGGACAAATAGTGAGATGGGAGGGAAAGTAAAAAGAATACCTTTTCTTGAAAATACAAATATATATCTAAACCTGTGTAAGACGGCCATGCACCCATTGTCGAGGAAAAAATAAATTAAGGGTATTCCTCAAAATTCTGCATGATTGATGACTTGTAAATAAATAATAATTCACCAACAATTGTGCGCTCATAAAGTAGCCTACCTACCTTGACTCTTGGGGTTGGCTGGGGGGGGGGGGGGGGGAAACTGCAAATAAAACCTTGCAGATTCTCCTATCCTCTTCAACGAAAGCTTGAAATGTGAGAATGTTATGTATGCACCTGCATATGACGGCAGTCGTCCATGCACTTGGCCATCTCTGGTCAGTCTTGGGGGGCACAAGACACAGAAAGGCCACGAGGCCTTCTGTGTTTGTTGTGTGTCGTAACATTACAAGAGCATGTCAGCTGGTCGGCGATGTTGTTATGTGTTAATGTGTTGTTACTACACAGTTCCCTTCCTTCCGAGTTCACATGCGTGCGCCCTTTGAGCTGCAAGCTGATTGGTTGAGCGACTTCCGCACTCTCCCACACTATAAACCATTCATTACTTAAGAAAAAAAAGTTTGGAAAACTTGGAAAACTATTTTGATCCTTTTCATTCAAGCTCTAGAGCTACAGTGTCCGAAAACTTTTTAAGAATGTATAAGATTAAAATTATGTACTACGAAGTTTATTTCTTTTAATTTTGCTGTTCATGTTTTTAAATTAAAGTACATTGAGTATGCCTGAAAGGTACTGAGAAAGCCTAGGTACGGGTACAAACAAATTAATGTTACAATACTTTTTTTCTTCTTTTTTTCCCCCTGATGTTGTTGTAAGTGTTTTACGGCGATCGCACCTACATACGGTAGAGCGGGACACATTTAACATTTTTCAGCTGGTAAGAAATTTTGAATTGTTGCCCTAGCGGCGGCCGTAGCCGACTCTTATGGGATCTTTAATTAACGTGCGCACAACTTGCAGACGGACCTCCGAGATTTTTCGCCCGAGAAGGCTAGGTGTTAGATCTTACCTACTATAAGATCGGAGGGGTGGGTGAAAGACAGAGGGGCGAAAAGGAGCCGAGGAATAGCAATAGGATGGCTGCAGAAAAAGTCTGGAGCCTAGAGGAGAGGGCAAGGGGAAGGCGGAGCAAAAAGTGGAGACGAAACCAGACGAACATATGTTATTGTTAGAGAGCAAGAAAAGGACCAGGTTTAGGGAGAACATATATATATATATATATATATATATATATATGTATATATACACACACACACACACACACACACACACACACACACACACACACACACACACACACACACATTTATGAGGTTTGGGTCCGGTCTCATATGGAGATGAAAACATACAAAAATGACGTAAGGTGGAGAGAAGAAAGAACGCTTCTAGCTGGTGCTGGAAAGGGGGGGGGGGTCTTTTTATTGTTTTTGTTTTTTGTTTGTTTGTTGCTGTCTTTTTTGTCCTGATATGAAATGTAATATTAATTAATATACATGTACTTTTAGGTAACTTAGGTCGTGTATACTTATCAAATCACCGTCCGATGAGTGTTCACTTATCAGACGGAAAAGTACATTACTCATTTTAATTCAATTACAACCATTGATTATTTTATGCACACTTTCGGAAGTATGTATTCGTGGCTGTGTGTAAAATTACTGTCTAGAATTTTATACAATGTTTATTTGTTGTGTTTTGTTTTTGTGGGTTTTTTGCCAGTGGTGTAGAGAGGAAAAGTAAGATTTTGTTTATTTATTTTTTTCATTAATAAAATCTCTGACAAATTGTGCGTGGCGATTTTATGGGAGGCCTAGCGAGGTAAAAAAAAAAAAGAGGGGGGGGGGGGGTCCAGGGGGCTATATAATATGCACTGCCTTAATATTCTCGATAATAATTGATGTTCTGCAGCCAGATTTGAAATTATCTTTACAATAACTGAAATTTGACAGCTTTAGTGACCGTTGTGATCTTCAGCTAAAAAGTACACCCGTTTGACCCCTTAATTTTAATGCAGACATCGTAATGAAAGTAAAATTTTACCAGCTGCACTTATTCCTAGCTATAATATTATTAACTTAATTAATTGGGCCTAAACAGTGAGTCAAAGGAACATGAGACTAACTAGAGCATAATGTAATAATATGTATACATGCACATGAGTTTTCGCCTAATTAACAAAGGCGACGCTCTCTTTACAAGTACTCTTAAAACATATGGACCCAATCATCATCATCATCATCATCATCATCATCATCATCATCATCATCATCATCGTCGTCATCGTCATCGTCATCGTCATCATCATCATCAGTAATAGCTTTCTCAACATCA